AGCCTGATTTATGGCAACACTTAAAGGAGAATAAAAACTCTGACTGACAAAAGAGCTAATCATTTCCTCCAAGGAACTAAGCCAAAGTTCACAATCAAGATTCTTGAATAAATGCGTGGAATATACAAAACGTGAGGTCTGCATCTCCTTTCCTTCTGGCCAATGGAATATTTTATTCATTTTTGACCATGTGAACAATCTGCACCAAAGCACATATCTAGTTAGCTTCAAGTGCTGTTTTAAATATTGCAGGAATCACTGGTAGTTATCTAAAATGAAAACCAGGCGCTGGCATGCCCAAAGCCAGCTGCTACTGTCCCAAATGTGGCTCCTTCCAAGAGAACAGCGATCTACACGTGTTACAGCTCCAGAGAGAATGTCATCTCCTGCGGCAGGGACAGTGCTGTTTAAGACAGTCAATATTTTAGAGAGTGTAGTCCATCCTCTCTGCACAGCAACCTCTCAGCTCTTGCCGAGAACACCACAGCCACTAGTGTGCCAGCTAATGAATGGGACCCGAGACATGACTTTCAGTTTACAAAGTTCTCACTTCTCATATTATTTTCCTTTTGTTATTTGCCATCCATTCTAAAATCTAAAGTCTTTGCTCAAAGACTAAAACAGCTAGTTGGGTTTGACCATGTGGATGTGGCCCATGGTTCAGTCTGTCCCTGGCTGAGGGCCCAACTGGCTTTTGGTCTTGCACCTACACCACTGTGAACATAAACCTGTCATCCGCATGCTTTTCTTGTTAAAGCATTCCTCTCTCTTAGTCACTAAGGCCCAGGTTCCACTTCTTTTCCACAGACCCAAAAGTCCCACCGAATAATGAGGGCAGGGGGGGCATGGAGAATAGCAAAGGGTACAAGCTCCTTTTACTGCTTCCAGTATTGTGATCTTGAGGGAGTTACAGAACACCCCATATCTCAGGTTCAGCCCTATCAAGGATTGTGGCATACAAGTACATGAAAGGACACCAAATGCACCACATTCTATTAGAGAGGCCAAGGCACGCTGTGGTGAAGAGCTGCCCACAGGGGCTCAGAAACAAGATCCTGGCTGATGTCATGGTTACAGTGCTAAGTCCTAGTAGTGGGGGTCCCTGAGGAAGAAAGGGTGCTGGGCCAAGTCACTGAAGATCTGGAGAAAGGAGCTCATCTCATGACTGCATGCTACCTACAGAAGACATTAAGTTCAGCAAAAGAAACTGGGAACCCTTTTGTGGCCAAAGGGCAGGGCAGGCATTTGGAAGAGCATAAAAATGAATAAAACAATCCATTGCAAATAGTTTGTAATTTGCTAATCATAAACACAACACAAAGCAAATCTGATTTACAAAATTAAGACATTATAAAGAAAGAAAAGACAGCAAGGGAGGAAACCCCTGGAAGCTAGACTTAGACACAGAACACAACCTCCCCTCCTTTCCTCCCCACAGCTTCTCCAGAGACTTGCTCTTTCCCTCTCCACCCTGTAAATTACTGGTTTGCATCAACAGATAGGGACAAGTCTTTCCTTTCCTCCTTGAACGTACCAGAGCAAACTAAAGAGATTATAAATGAAGATCGTTGAAAAATACTAGTCCTGACAGAAATGTCTAAAACCATTTCCTTCATTTTTGCCTGAAACGTGGTTTCTACCCAATTTAGTTCATAAACTAGCCAAGGTACCTCTAAAACCACACATGGGTTTGGACCCAAGTCTAGATTCCTAACTGCAAAGGCTAGGCAGGAATACGGCCACCATACTCCTCACATCTACAAGACAGAGTCTGCACTGGAGAGAGCTCTGCTTGGGAAAGCTATGTGAAAGACAGATGATCCCAGTAAATGATTCTAAGAGAAAATGACTATTTTAACTGAAATTTTGTCTACATTCTCTCCAGGCTAAGAACACAGGGTTAGCCAAAAGGGACTCAACTGGGTACACAGCAGAACTCCAGTTAGGGGAGCAAACAGCAGCATTTCTAACTGTTGAACACACAGCCCAGAGCTGGAAAACATATTCTAAAACTTGTGTGAGCCGCACTCACTGGTACAATAGGATAAAGATTTGCTTTTAAAAAACTACTGCCAGGCACAGGAGTAAAGACCTGTCATTCTAGCTACTTAGGAGGCTGAGGTTGAGCCCAGGAATTCCAGACCAACCTGGGCAACACAAGGAGATCCCCATCTCAGAAATGAATAGAAGGCCGAGGAGTTACTATTCTTCCAGTAACATTATAACACCACTATACCTCTAGGATACCTATGAATCTAACCTAGTGATTCCCAAGCCTGGGCCACTTCACCCTTCAGAGACCATTTGGCCAATTTTTATTTTGAGACATCTTTTGTTCTCAGAGAGATAGTTCAATGCGACTGGCATTTAGTGTGAAGCCAGGAATGCTGCTAAGCTCCTCACAAACACACAAAAAGCCACCAAGAGCAAAGGGTACAGTTCAAACCATAGTTTCTTAAACTATGGTCAAGAAATGTTTACTAAGTGCATTTCTTCCGTGTAGGAGGGTGAGCACATGCGTGCAGGTATGCATGGGCATGTGCAGATCCCAGGAAAACTTCGGGAACCAAGTGTGAAGCCAGGAATGCTGCTAAGCTCCTCACAAACACACAAAAAGCCACCAAGAGCAAAGGGTACAGTTCAAACCATAGTTTCTTAAACTATGGTCAAGAAATGTTTACTAAGTGAATTTCTTCTGTGTAGGAGGGTGAGCACATGCGTGCAGGTATGCATGGGAATGTGCAGATCCCAGGAAAACTTCGGGAACCTCCCCTTGGGTGCCTTCCAGCTTTTGTTTGAGAGGGTCTCTCAATGGCCTAGACATCACCACTTACACTAGATGCCTCTGTCTGCCTCCCATTTCACATCACAAATTACAAGGCTGGGACACCATGCCCAGCTTCTGGCTCCAGGGACTCAAACTCAGGACCTCATACTTGCCAGGCAAGCACTTCACTTCTTTACCAACTGAGCCATCTCATCTCCCTAGTTCTGCATCCATTTCTTAATAACTAACTAGGACAGTTTGATAAATAATGAGAGTCAGAGGAGGTCTAGGCTCCTCCTAAAGACCACCTACTAGTATAGACAACTTAGTCGTTCAAGAGAACCTGGATATTTATGTAGTCCATTTTCAGTTGTAATATTTCAGGGATAAAATTAGCCACAGCTCGTAATTCTATGGCATTATCAAATAATGTATCTTCTGCACTAATTAGCTTATCACATAACCTATGAGTATCTACCTGTGTATGTAACCAAATTGGCTACAGTTGCCGCCTCTACCTAGTGCACAGTATTTCCTACATTTAGCTCATAACTGAACCCTCTGTACCCACCTACCACAGAAACCAGTCCTCAAATGTCAACCATGGGTTTCATGTGCAAAACACTCATATATGAAATTCCCTTACTCTGATGTTACAGTCCATTCAAAGTTTACTGCCCAACTCTACGAAATTTCAAAGCTTGCGTGGGGAAAGAACTGATTTTGGCTATGAATTTAAAGACCATCTTTGCAAGGATGTTCACTGTGAAAAAAAAAAAAAAACGTGTGTTCACTACACAAAAGTTGAAACTGACCTGTGAAACAAGTCCTTGAGATTATCAATAAAAATGTATTTGGGTGTTTCAACAGAGAAAATGTTTCTAAGGAAATTCTTCTTTTTCCATCTGCAGTTACTGTATTTTCAGGTGTTATGCTAAAAGAAATAGCTTCAGTACATGGTAAAATTCAGTTCAGACTCAGAAATACCAGCGGTTCAGATGTCCCTTACAAACAATCCACGTACCATACAGAAAGAAACGCTCCCTGGGGCTGAGAGAAACGAGTGAATGCTACATTTCTTCAGCCAACAAAGCACGCTCTGTTCCACAGAAATCTAAGAGGGGCCTGTTAGCCTGCTGAAGTTTCCTGTAAGTCCTGAGGAAGGTAAAACTGTGGCTACTGTGAACCAGCTAGACTGCCAAATGCCACCTTCTAAATGGAATCCTGAGATGGAGATGTATGCTCTTAGGTTTAAGATCCTGTAGGAAAGCAACCAACCAGTAACAGGGAGAAGCAAGATGATGCTACCCGCCCAAGGTCCATCAGGTCAGGTCGTTTAAACGCAAAGCCTGGTTTCAGAATGCTGCACACCTAAGTGGAAAAGTCAAGGATTTCTCTGGGACGGTAAAAGCATGTTAGAAGGGCTGTCTTCTGGCTGGAACCAGAAAGTTCTGATTCACAGTAACTTGTCTAGACTAATCGATGCAGTCGCAGCTTCCGATCACAAGCCATGGGCCGGGGCTCAGGAAAGCTCTGCACAGCCTGCCACTGAAACCCAAAGTCCGCAAGCCGGCAGGGTCGCAGGGTGGGGAGCACAGAGCATCAGCCTAGGTGCGCAAGGTCAGGTCCTGAGCGAGGTTTCTGGACTGAGGCAGCGTTGCCCGCTGCAAGACGCACTGGAGAGAACTTGTGGCCATCAATCGGAAAGCGCGGAGCCTGGAGTTGAGGCTCAGCAGGAATAACGGAGGCTCAGCACCGAAAGGAAGGGAACAAAGCGACAGAAAAGGTGCCCGTGAGACCCAGAGCTAGAGAAGCCCGAGTCCGGGCGGCGGCGGGACGCACCGCTCGGCCAGGGAAGGGGGGCGGGCGGGCGGGCGGGCGGACGCAGCAGGGACCCGGCGCTCCTGCGGGACCCGGGACAGGGGAGGCAGCATGGATGAAGGAAAGGATGAGGGATAGGATGAGAAGGCAGACAGGGATTGGATGGAGCCAGGACCTGCGGCGCAAACCCGGACCCACGGCCAGGAGGCTGGACGGACCGGGAGATGAGTGGGGAAATGGGGGCGGGCGATGAAGGGCTGGGGACGGATGAGGGGGATGAGGAGACGGCTAGGTGTGCGGAGCGGGGCGGAGGCGGGATAGCCAGAGCCGGGACGGACCGCAGGCGCCGGGTGAAGGGGGGACGGACGGGGGACGGAGGCGTCACGGATGGAGCCGGGCGCCCGGCGCTCACCTGCAGCGACGCCTGAGGGCGTCTCCGTTCCCGCGCAGAGACCCGTCGTCCAGGCGAGCAGCGCGAGCGCCCCCAAGAGCAGCCGGGGCTCCGGGCCCCGGGCCCCCATCTTCCCCGGAGCCCACGACCTGCAGCGGCGACTTCTCGCGAGACGCGGGACCCCGGGCGGGCGGTAGCGGCGAGGGAGGCGCAAGTGAGGGCCGGGTGCGGACCCGGCGGACGGAGCGCGCGGAGCGGGCGGCGGCCCGACTTAAGAGCCGCGGCGGGGGCTTTTTTTGACCTCACCGAGGGGCCGTCGGGGCTGCGCCTCCACCCACCCGGTCGGTCGGCGTACGTGTGCGGCCTCACGAGCCCCTGAGCCGGGGCAGCCGCCGGGGCGGAGGAGGAGCCCGGCGCCCCTCTGCTCTCCCCGCCTCCCCGCGCTCCAGAATCTTCCGCGGCGCGCCCGCCGGCGCCGGGCGGTGAGGAACGACGAGGCCGTAGGGACCGGTGTGCCCCCCGCGCAGCTGATTCGGAGTGCAGCCACCGCGCCCGGTCACGGAAGGCCGTGCTTTTATTGCGCCTGTGAACACGTTTTAGCTGCGCGGTGAACTGCACTCCGTCCGCGGCGAATGCCAGGAGAGCGGCACACCCCTTCCAGTAATGAGGCCTGTAAACCCCGCGCAGCCCGAGCCCAGCCTGTGCAACCCGGGATTGTGCCTTACAGGGTCTTCCTGCTGTGCACACGGAAAGTTACTCCTGGAGGTGCAGGGGCGCCATCCCTGGGCTCTTGGGAGCCGCCTCCGCTGCTGCAGGCTTTGCTTAGTGTGTACACAAAGCCCTTTTGCTGTGTCCCTCGCGCTTTACCCCGTGGTCTAAACTGAATTGCACAGGGCAAAAGTTTGTCAACTTTGTCTCAAACATTCCGTGGTGTGTGTTACGTTATGGCAGAAGAAATTTGGCCTCGCTCTTCTACTCAAATCTTCCCTAGAGGAAGAAGGAAATACTTATTCTAACTCAGAGCCTTTGAAATTAGAATTATTCAAGTTCATGCTCACAATTTAAGTAAAATTAGCATACTATCACAGGAAGATGGACACCAAATAGTAGATTAAAAACAGGTTAAAGAAATGTTTGGGGTGTGACATTTAAAGGAGAAAAACATTTCCTGAGCCTAAGACTGAGCCAGCTATTACTGGGTTTTGAAGGTTTGGTCACTTTTTTCTTTTTTAAGTAAAGGAAAATTGGAAGACGTTTAGAGAGGCATAGAAACCATTAAAGAAATGGAAAGTATGATCTGGAAGAGGAATGAAGTAAGGTTTATTTACTCTGAAGCAGAAAAGGCCAAAAGACAGTTTCTTTTATAGCCTCCCTCACTGGGTGGCAGGTGCTGTGCCATGAAGTCAGGCCTCCCGGCAAACAGACCAACCCTCAGAGTCCAATGTTGTGCAGGAACAGCTGGTCTGTTGGATAAATCAGTTTCCAGAATTCCAGATTTGTCTTTGCCATGTTCCTTGACTTGACTTCTTGCTTCCGGGATCTGGTATCCTCAACTCACCTGGCTAGAACTTGGATTTCCGTGTATGCTTGACAGTATGCTTGACAATAGAGTCCACCAATAATTGTTTACTATGCCCCTCCTCCTCCCCTGATGAGGCTCAGATTTAAAACCTTCTATAAAGCAAGTGCCTCTGGGATTTTTTAAAATAGACCCTTCACTCCCAGTCTGAAAGTGTCCTATTGTGAAACCTAACCCTTCCTCCCCTCTTAGCTTTCCAGTCTGGCTGCCTGCTGGAGATTTCCCCTTGGCTGTTCCCGTGGCTGCACGAACCGTCTTTGGTTCCTCAGATCTAGATACACTCCCAGTTTCTTCATCTGTTAGTGATGCTCTTACTCACATGGCTGGACGCTCTGGACTCACAGAGCTGTGGGAGTTTTTTCCTTCCTGTTTTCTCTGCCATTCTCCCTGTTACCTCCATGACTAATGTACTCCTGGTGCTGCAACTCAAGCTGTTTCTTCACCAACCACCTTCCTGTCCTCAGCATCATACCATTCTAAACTATAGCAAGATCCGTTCTAGTCATCCCCAAACACAACGATTTCATAAAGGATCTGGAAACAATTCTAATCCCTCAACCTAGAGTGCTAATTATTTCACTACTAAATTCAACCACCTCTTTCTACATCCTATACCCAATCGATCTGGCTTACTTATTATCTCTCAAAGCAGAACAAATGATTCGTCTTATTTTCCACAGTTCGGATAGGAATCGTTGTCATCATTTGGGTTCCTCCATAGGCCAGCCATGAGCTGAGGTTCAAGAAACAGTAGTTTGTGTGGTGTTTAGAGGAAACCCAGTAGGTGAGGGTGAGGAGATGCCAGAAAAGACATTAAGGAGTTGATTCATGTGTAGTCCATCCCGTTGGGTGTGGTCCTTTGCCCATAGACCTGATATATACTTTACCACTCATAAATAACCCATCCAAGAAGCAAGCAACCTGCACTGTCTTACTTCCAGCCCTATTGTTCATTGATTGAAGGGCTATGGAGCACTTGTTAGTTCCCACACACGCCCAGACTGCTGTGCTTAGTGATGTAGCAGCCCCTCCAATGATGGTACAACTCTAGGCCATGAGAAGTCAGGTTGCAATGCTCAGAAATGGTAATATCTGAGGGGGAAGCAGGACCGGCACCAGCTAAGCCTCTACACCTCTGTTCATGTATAAAAAGCTAGCAACTCTCTCTTCCTCCCTTCACTGAACTATCCAAATCAAGTACCACCGTGTAGTGCTAAACCAAGTCAATTTCTCCATAAGTTTTAATGTACAACCAACAAAATTTGAGGATCTGAACGTGGGTGTAAGAGGAAAAAGGCAGTGAGGAATAATGCTCTTGGAACACAGAATAACATAGAGGAGAGTTAAAAGAAACAAGAAGGCACACAAGCAGACAGCCAAGACATGAAATGAAAGAGAACAGGCCCTTCCAGAGAAGAATGGGAGTCAGCAAAGGAGGTGGGAAAAGTCAGACAAGAAAAGGGCCCACAAAAGAGAGGCTTAGGGAAAGGAGAGTGGTTTTAGCATTTGGGATGCAAGTTTAAATGTAAGCTGTATTTGGGAGCAGAAACCACAGTGAGTATAAGACACACAATGGAGAGGAGACAGGGAACTCAGGAAAGCAGAGTGGTCCTCTGGGACTCCATCTGAACCCGGCATTTCCTGCAAGTGTCCCTGTGGCCTCTACCATTTAAGGTCACATTACACAACGCTGAAGCTTCTCTTCAAGTATTAACATTTTCTAACATACTCTGGGGAACTCAGCAGTTTTCTTCTACAGTTCTTCAAGCTGTAACTTGAAGATGATTTCCCAGGTGAAAGGTCAAACATCCTTTGAAATGGAGCCAGTAACAGAAAATTAAGTGAGCTACAATTAGCAAACAGAACTAGTTATCCCAGAGAGCATGGCTTGTCTTTTGGCCTTTTAGACTCTGATTTCTTGCCAATGAGAAAAACTAAACATATGGTTTTCTGTAAGAGATCTTGATTCGCATCCATAACTTTGAGATTAAATATCATTTCTTAACCTTGATTATGTTTTAGTTATCTAGCACGCTTATACGGAACCTTCCTTAGCTAGACATGAGTTGTGAAATCCATGTACCCTGGAAAATGATGTCAGATGTAAAACCAACTCAGCCAAGATCAAATAAAAAAAAGCAGGCCTGGATCATAAAGAGCCAGAGAGTGCACAGTATCCTGAAGATGAGTCCAGCAGCTACTCTGTGACTAGTCAAAATGATTGGAGCAGAGCTGTCTAGGCTGTGAGTCACCCCTGAAGGCCAGCAGCAGATGCTTGTGGTGTCTGCATTTAGTCTTCCAAGTTTGTTTCACTGAAGTCCGATGCCTCAACAATCTTGTTGATATAGATAACAGCAGAACTCCACGAATTTTATGATTAACTGTTAACGCTGTCAACAATATTTTCTGATGATAACTCTTCTCATTCTCTGTTCTTAAAATTTCTCTTTGTCTTGCTCCAGTGCTGTCCAGGGGCATGTTGCCCTGATGCGAAGGAAGCGCCAGTGTCAGCAAGGCCCTGAGAGTGTCAAGAGTAGTCGGGAGTTGTGTAATGTTCCGGCTTGGGAAGGAAGCCAGGTTGTACTCAGGAAGAACCATTTAGAAAGTATCTCTTAGCCACTGCCATGGAGCTCTTAGAAAAAGGGCCTCAGACTAAATTTTATTCATGTGTTTTTTAAGGTTTTTAATTGATTTTCTTCCACTTTCATACTATCTATTTTGATCACACTTAGATCTGCTCCCCTTCTACACTCCCTATTCCCCCTACCTGATTTCATATACTCTATTATATAGACAGTCGGATGTGTGTCCCCCAGATGCCCTTTGGTGTGGTTCCATTCCTTGGAGCCTGGTCATCCTCCCAATTATCTCACCCTTAAATAATCCTGGCTGTCCCCCTCCCAGCAGCCATCAACTGGCAATAGTTCCTCAGGTAGGGTTGAGGCTTATTACCCACTTCCCCTTGTCCACACTGGGATTTTGTCTGGTGTTTTGCTTACATGTGTGTATGTGTGCCACACGTATGCCTGGTAACCTTGGAGGCCAGAAGAGGGCATTAGATTCCCTGGAGTTGGAGTTACTGATGGTTGGTAGTTACCATATGGGTGCTGTGAACTGAAGCCAGGTCTCATGCAAGAGCAGACAGTAGGTTTAACTGCTGAGCCATCTATATACTTTGTTTGTGTGTATATGATATGTATGATATGTATATGAGTACTGATGCACGTGTGTCATCCCAGGTGCGTGCAAGTCAGAGAACAATTTGGGGAGTTGGTTTTCTCCTTCCATTTTGAGTTCCAGAGATGGCTCTCAGGGCATCAGATTTGCTCAGCAAACACTTTTACTCACTGAGCCATTTCACTGGTCTGGGGCCAGAGTTTCATGTATCTAGTAAAATACTAGTATTTTCTTATTATACCAAGTAAGTACTCACATAAGTGGAGGGAAGGCCACGAATAAGAGACCAGCATCATGAGCACACTGTTAGAAACATAAACATGTTTGTGTCTTTCAACAATGTCAGAATTTATTGAACAAAAACAAATTCACAGGTATAACAAGTAGGCTTTCCTTGAGTCAAAGCACGTGTTATTTAATTTCAATCTTAATTACTCCTAGCTCTCTGATCACACATTACATATCACAGAGTAAATATAGGGTGTGTGTGTGTGTGTGTGTGTGTGTGTGTGTG